CTATAATACTAACTAAACTCTTCTAACGAAGATAATTTTTTAAAAATAATTATTATTGATGCTTTAATTAATAATCATTATCAAAAGAAACTTGATAGGCTTACAAAGGTACAATTTACGAATTTAATTATGTACGAAGTTAAATACATTTTCTAGATGTAAATAATAAATATAGAATATTAAAATATTAGTTAATTAATTAATTAATGTGTACCTACATATTTTGTATCGTATATTATTTTCTATTGATATCACGTATACTTTTAAGATGCACTTATTATTATTATACAGTTTTATCATATTATAAGACGTACGTACTCTAACTCAAATTGAATTTAAAATGTTGAAAAGACATTTTATTTTAGAAACGAAATTACACAATTTTTGTCACCTTTCCGCAAAAAAAGAAAATTAAAAGTTTTATATTGATTTTTAGTATACTATATAGTATATTATATTGATGTATCCAATGTAAGACGTGAGATCTTAACATAAAATATTAATCATTGTAAATAAAAAAATTTTTAGTTACAATTATTATTTGACACATAATAATAAATTATATGAGATTAAACCGGCTACGATGTATATTATGTTTCTATTTAAGTGCATGACGTGTAAACATTAAACGGTGTCATATACGTCCATAATTCGATTTGATGCACATGACATGTACGCACAGGTACATACAAGCACAATTTAGTTTAATTCTCAGACACTATATACGTATACGATAAAGTAATATGATGTAACGTAACACGTAAGTAACAAGTGCGATCGTGTACAGAATAGTTTAGATGACCGCGTAGTAAGTAACAAGTGCGATCGTGTACGGAATAGTTTAGATGACCACTTAATAAGTAACAAGACCGTCCAAGTGCAGAATAGTTTTGAGTGTGTAGACGACCACATAAGTGAAAAGTGTACGATCGAGTACAGAATAGTTTCAAACCAGAGAATCACGACAACTTTATCTGATTTCTTCTCTTATCCTGGTGACTGGCGCGAGACACAGTGTTACCTATATAATAACTTTTATTTTAAATCAATAATTTTTGCTTTCGTGTTTCTGAAAATAAAATAAAAGATAAAAAAAGGTGGGCAAGTGGGTGTCGCTGTGCTGTGCAGTAGGTTTACAAGTGGGTCACTGTAGTGGATAGTGTCAAATTTGAATTCAATGATAGAAATCGTTGTATACAAAATACGATTCTGAGCGAAGACGGTCAGTCAGCCTATGATATACTGATATAACTAAATATATTTGATGATATTATTGTGATTAAATAGTAATTTATATATAACCTATTTTAAAATGTTATTAACATTCTTAAAAAAATTGAAAATTAATAATGTCCTTAAACAGCTCCAAACAAGTCAAAATATTTTGAATATTTTATGGCGTATAGCAAATGCTAATATAAATGTTCAGTGAAAGCTTCATGTATCTAAGATCATGTGTTTTAGAGTTACGCCAAAAACCAAAATCAATTTTGTCAAAACCCGAATTTACGCAAAAATTAACGTTTTCCTAAATTTTTATGTTTTTTTTAACGGTGCTTTTGAAAACTATTGGGAATTTTGGGAATTTAAAATTTTGACCTACCAATGCACCATCTAGATTCACTTTTCCATCGAACAAGATACTGAAATTGAAAATCGAAGCATTAATTCGACTCCTTATCATGTACACAGACACAAATTAAAAAAAAAAACACACTTCATTTTTGTAAAATCAATACATTCATTAAGAATCTAAAATGTATAGAACAAATCGATGTAAATATTTTAAAAGTTGAATTATCGATTTCCATAAGATATTCAAACAGTAATGACATGAGGTCATGGTTAAGTATTGCCTCCCGCACAAGAGTTTAGGGGACTACTGCAGGGTCATTATTTTCTTTGACTTAAATTTGTATGTACCTATCAGTTTGTATTATAAACCCAATGTTTACTTGATGAGACAGCTATTTCAAATTAAAAAATATCTTACAAATGCCTACAAAATATCTCCAATACTTTCTCAGTACCTACTCACTAGGTACCTCCCCTCATTATAGCTGTAAGACAATTTTTTCACAATAATAACCTTCTAGCAACAATGGATCAAAGTGGTATAAAATAAATAGAGCAATTATTTCTGAATTGTTAAATATTGAACTCAACTACAATACATTTTAAAGTTTGGGGGAAATGAACTTCACTAAATTTAAATTACAATGAAACTTTTGCTTTTAAGGTGATAATAAAGATGATTAATGCAATGTAAGACTCCTTTATATTTTGTGGGAGAATCAAAATATATTATGTAAACGAATAAAATGTTAAAATTGATTTATCTGTTACAATTTGTGTATAGTAGGTACTATAGTTATTAGTTGTGTATAGTGTATACTGTAAGTCTGTAAATATTTTATACCTAAGTAAAAATGAGTAATAAGTAATTCTAATTTCACCAACATAAAAAATCATACATCGTCGTGATAATTGTCGTCTTATTGTTGTAATAATCAAACATAAGCTGAAATAATTCATACAGCAAATATATATAGTTTCTTTAAAAGTATTGGTACTATAGTAACGTCTTGTGTTATTATAACAATAATATTATATTATATTCTATCAATAATAATTATAAACTGTCGAATCGTCCATATAACCTAGTCTATATACTTAAATCAAGTTAATCGTAATCCATTGAATTTTTCTAATTTTTACAAAAATTACACGGATATGAGTTCAAAATGTACAGCTATGATTCAGGAAATTTCGATATTGCTATTGCTGTTCCAGTTGGTCGTGATCTATCCAAGTCCTTTACACAGTAAATAAGCACTTAAAAGTACATTTTTAAATTAATAGACATTTTAAATTTTTTGCATTAAAATATCACACAAACCGTAGGTATCTACCTATCTTACAATATACAGGCATAGGGTATACTCTCTGATATCGTTTCAGACGAAGATATTCAGGAGCCAACTCGAAACAATAAAGACGATAATGTCAAGCCATGCGGTGAAGGATTGTTCCGAGACCCACTCGAAATTTTGGGTTCGTTATATACGTATTTACTACTTTTTACTTTAATTTTCACAAGACCCTCTCCGCGCACACACCGTATATTTGCATAAATATATTATATACACTGAAATATGATCTTATAGGTATAAATTAGATATTGTACTAGGTACTCTGTTTTCGGAGGGTTTTGACGCTTGAAGTGTGATGGGACACGGCGGTGGATGTATATTTTTTGATCGGACTTGTATTTTTTATCAGTACAGTAGAACATCGATTAACCGTCAGTCTCGGGACTCGAGCCAAGACTTCGAGCCAATCGAAAAGACGGTTAAGTGAGAAATTTTAAATTTTAAACATGGATAATATACAGTATAGGTACACGTTATTTATTATTTTCTTTAAGAATTATGATATATTTATACAATTTCTATTAAGTACCTATACTTATTGGCACCCTTATCTCACCCATAAAACTTAGATATAATATACACCTAAATCTAGCAGATATTGCCGGAAAGACAACACAGGCTCGCATAAAAGGCGATAAGATATAATATAGATAAGATATTATTGCAGTAACGCGCGAGATGTTATATACGCAAGTGCGACCCCTGACAGTTAACCGAAAAAGACGGTTAATCGGTAGATGGACAATTGAAGTTCTACTGTATTATCTTATCTGCTTTCTTAACCGGCCCGGTTAAACTCGAAATGGCCAGTGAGGACTTGCCACATATTCGATGAATCTGAGATCTCAAACATTGCACATGCCTATGATGCCGTGTTATAATCAAGGGCGTCCGCAAGAATTTGTCAAGGGGAGGGCAAAATATTTTCCATTTTTTGTTTCGCTATCCTATTAGTGATACAGTATTTTTGTGACCTGTTTTCTTTCATATAGGCAGGAAATGTAAAAATAATTATGAATTATTCGTAGATAGTTAGTTGAAACTTAATCTTACAGCATTAATTGTAATTTTAAATTAGCAAATACATTTCTTTTTAAAAAATTAAATGTTAACGTTGGTTTTATAATTTTAGGTAATTTATAAAATTAAACATTTCTAGATCATTCAGTCATTGATATCACAAAATTTAAAAATTTAAACTTTTCTAGGTGTGCCATCTATTTCTATCTATAAAAGAAACGATCTTAGTTCTGAAGTTTATAATCTTGTGCAATAATAATAAATCTGTAAAAAAAAAAATTTGTTTTTATTTTTAATTTAAAAGAAGTTTATTTTGCGATATTTTATATTACAATGGTAATGATTGAAGTTGGGATTTCGAGGCACTTTGCATTTTGTTCCAAATCTAACTACACGATACTTGTTTTATAACATACCTACCTACATTGCATTTTTTGACGATTTTAATTTTTAAGGTCTTTTTTTGGATTTAAAGATTTTTGGAGCATTTTGTAGTTTTTCCTAAATTTAAATTTTAAATTTTATTTTAAAATTTGGACAAGTTTTTTACATGATTTTTATACTAAATATATGATCTAAACATATAGGTACTATATAAAAAAAAAAATACTTAATTTTCAGATTAAATAAGAAGTCCAAAATAATAAGTTCTATCTGTGAAACGTCTATACAATCCTTTAAAAGTTTAAAAAGTATACCTGTTATAATTTATACCAAGTTTATATTAGAATTTATATCTTTAATATTAAAAATAAAAATAATTTATTTCACTATTTAGAATGTTATTCCATTTTGAACTTTATTTAGGACATTAAAATAATCAATAATATTTATGATAACCAACCCAGAAAAAGCCAAGGGGGGAACTTCCCCTACTTCCTACTTCTATATAATATAAGTCTTGTTAAGTTTTTAAATGTTCTGAACCTATCCATTATTGCAGGCGATAAATTCACAGAAGCCAAAATCATACATTTATGCAAGGCGGATGTGTATATGTACGCCGATGTGATTTCTGATGTGATCTTTATGCCCTTTGGCGTCAAAATGTGCAAATCCGTATGTGATGGTTATCAGGAATCTATGAATATCGACGTAACAGTAAATGTGTCACTCATTAACTCAAATTGCGATTACACTGGTTCAACGACTATTGTTGAACATTTAGCGAATTGCACACATTTGGCCAAGTGTCCAGACCTGAGCATCGCATGTGTGTGCTACTATAACGTCCGATGCGATCGCCGGACGAAGTCAGTTACCTATACATTTACACCTAACCGAAAAGGCTATCTTAGGGTAATGGTAACCGATTCTGGGACTCCAAAATATATAACTTGATTCCCCAACAACGCCCAACCAAAGGATGTGTAATTTGATCCAGTATAAGTTTCGCGTTTCTGGAAAGTCGCATTTCCATTTATTTTTACCGTTTTTTTTTTTTTTTAACCCCATTTAGGCTTAGTCTAAGGTCCCCAAGATACCTATTGTCGGTCTAGTATTTACATACGCTGTAATCGCCTTGGTATTGTTGTTTTGTTCTGACCTGGTCATTTTTGATAAGAGCATAATAATATATAGAAATCGTCGTATTTATTCAGTTTTTCACACACCTCGAATTGACGGTTAATGAGTTAGGTCGCGGAGTTTGTTCGGGTCCGCATTAGACTCGTGGTTTTGTTTAAACACGTATTATAATTGTTATAGTTGAAATAATAAATATGTGTGCTGATCTTTATATGAATATTTATTTTTAACATTATCAATGTATAATATATATTATGTTTATTTTTATATTATCTATAAGTTATAACTTAAAACTAATACACATTGTTCTATAACTTTACCCATAAACTTATATACGTCTCTATAACTTACTATACATAGTGGAACCCTGATGTGTTTGGAAATGATAGTCTCTAGGCAAGTAGATTGAGTGGGGACGTGTTACCTAATCTAACTTAAGCTTCAAGATATGGTACATAATAATATAATATTATAGTGTGCACCGTGGCTCAGCGGGGTGTTGAACATTACGTGTTTGCGTACGACGAATTTATTAAAAGTTTGAGAGTTCCGACGCCACTTTAATATTGGACGCCATGGAACTATCCCAAGTGAAAACATTATAATACTTAAATGGATCAACGACCTTCAAACAAGTGAAAATATAATGAAGAAGAAACCACCTGCCCACCCTTTTGTACGGCAAGGACAATGGTGCAGAGCTTGAAAGACGCATTCCTGAAGAGCCTCGTATCTGCGTATCTGCTCGACAACACACTTGAGCGGTCACATAATATAAACTATTTCAACAGACTTTCATTATGTTATAATATTAAACAATATAGTGTAGTAAGCGAGCTTGTCATATTTTAACGTCGTTTTAAAAATAAAAAAATGGTATCTATAATTGGCTAGTAATAAAATAACCAAATAAAACTGTTTTAGGACTTTAGGTATACCTACTAAAATACTAAATAATACAACGTAAATATATAATAATTTCAAAAACTGAGAAAAAACTCTCTGTTGTAGCCTGTTAGTATAGTGTAGTTTCGAGTGTATTGCACCTACATGTAATTATTGAGATGATGCAAAATGGATATAACCAGGATAATTATTGTATATATGTGTTAAATTGAATTCAATGATAAACCATTTCTTCAAAAACGATTCTATAGGCGGTAATGGTAAGTCAGTATTTATAATTTAATAATACATAGGTATATTTATTATTTATATTACTTATTTACTTATTTACTTATTTACTTATTGTGAGTAATTTATGTTTTTTATTAATTATACCATTGAATATAGATAATATAATATATGTCGATGTAATGCTCAAGTAGTTCCAGCAGCGTCGTCGATGCCACAAAACATGTATATATAATATGGCAAGCTGAACTACTTTTATCCAAAAAATAAAATATAAATACATAATACTATATAATATAAAAATGTATTATTATTCTAATATTATATCATAGGTAATATATTATTTATATTAACAAGACCAAGCACGTACTTAAAGTAAAATTATAGTTTAAGTTATAGTGTAATGTTCTAAGTTTCTAGGATTAAAATTTGTCAAATAACAAAAATCGTTTAGGGATAAATCGTTATTTTTTCGCTTGAATATCTAATTGTGTCCATATTTGATCTTCAAACACTTATAAACAAAATTATGACTGAATATTTTTAATAATATTTGATTGCAGTAAAAAGTTTCCAAGCTTTTTAAGTTTTTCACTGACAAATAGCCTAACCAAAAATACTTTAAGCCACTCTCGTTCATGTTGGCTAATTTATTATATTATATGTTGTTACAATATATTACATTTGTTTCCTTATTGTATTAGGTATTCTATTCTATTATATCTTTATATATTTAATGTATGCCTACTAAATTGTTCTACATTACTTTACTACGTTGTACGATTCTTATTATCTTTGTTACAATAACTATATTGAACTACATTATAAACAAGTTAGGAAAGCTCACTATGCGAGTGTTCTAAATTCCCAGTTTTAAAAAGTATCGTAATACAACGCAATAAACTATAATATTCCAAAAACCTACGAATTAAAAAGAATTTGGTAACTTTTATATTTTAGTACCGACGTTTTTAATATAAGGATATTGGTCAATATGAATGTATATTACCTAAAATCTATTTACTCAAATGTTGATATTTTTTAATACTGGCTTGTAAAATGTATTTTGTATAGAAACGTTGTAAAATAATAATATGAAAAATCTCAACTATGTATAGTACCTAACTGTTCTATCGACTATTAATAAATAACTATTAATATCAACAATCTTAACTATGTTCTGATAACTAACGGGGAGACACAACATGGCTATAAGGTGTTCTAAACTTATGTTTAAAAACCTAAGACCAAATAAATATTAAACATTTTAACTATCTATAAATTGCACAATAAAGAGCAAACTAATTTTGAAAATTATATTGTGTCTAGAAAATGCTTATTTAAATATTTGGAAAATACCAAGTGTCTGCAATGGTTATACATTTTTGAATCGTAACAAAATATGAGCAAACTCGATATAGTCAAAAACTTGTTTTGCATAAATATTACAGTTTTTCAGTATATTGTTTTAGATTCTGAGTGAAACGATGAATGTATTGATTTTACAATGATGTGTGTTTTTTTATTTTTTTTGTGTCTGTGTACACGATAAGTAGTCGAAATAATTCTTCGATTTTCAACTTCAGTATCTTGTTCGATTGGAAAGTGAATATCGTTGGTGCATTGGGGAGGTCAACATTTAAAATACCCAGTACTTTTCAAAAGCGCCAAGAAAAACAAAAGAAAAATTGAGGAAAAACGGGAATTTTTACGCAAAATCGATTTTTCAGAAAATTGAATTTGGTTTTTGGTGTAACTTTAAAACAAATGACCGTAGATACATGAAATTTTCACTGGTTGTTTATATTTGCATTTTCTATTCACGATAAAATTTTCAAAATATTTTGATTTATTTTGAACTGTTTAGGGACATTTTCATTTTTCATTTTTTTTTAGTTTTTTTTCTAGAAATATCAATAAAATGTTATTTGTTGGGTAAAAAAACTTGAAAATTTAAAAGAAGGCTCCTAATATATTGTTTAAAAGGCAGATGAAAAATATTAAAAATCCTTAGTCACAGTTTTTTTTAATAAGCATTTAAAGTTCAAAAATTGACAAAATATGGAAAAATCACGAAAATTAGCAAATTATTTTGAGTTAAGAATTCGTAAAAATGTTTCTTTTTAAATCTGACATTTGAAAATGTAATACAAGATTACTCATAAGTTTGTCTACCTTTATCAATAAAAAAATCCTTACCGGACAGTCAAATTAAATTTTTATGAGCGTTTGAAATTCAAATTTCTACAACATTGGATGTTCAATCGATTTCTCATGTAGTGATTTCCTTATTTTGTTGTAATTCAAAAACGAATAACTATAGATACATGAAAATTTCACTGAAGTTTTATATTAGCATTTCCTATACACCATACGATTTCGAAAATATTTTGACTCTTTTGAGCTGTTTACGGACATTTACAGCTTTCAATTTTTTTTTCTATGAATATCAATAAAGTTTTATCTGTTGTGCCAAAAAGTGTAAAAATGTAATACAAGGCTCCTGATATATTGTTACAATATTAGTTGAAAAATATTAAAAATACATAAGCACAATTTTTTTTTATAAGCATTTAAACATCGAATTTTGACAGAATTTTTCAAAATCTCGAAAATTATTAATTATCGTAATTAATAAATTATAAAATGTTCAGTTTTTATAGCTAAGGATTGTAAATTAAAAACAAGATTCCACATAAGTAGTTAATTCTCTTAAAGAAAAATCTAAAAAATATACAATCACAGTTTATTTTTATAGTCATTTTATGTTAAAATTTTAACGAAATTACATATTAAAAAACCTAGTTATTTTGTTGTGATTATATAATATTATTCGTGGGTACCTACTTGAAACTTCTAAAGTGTACTATTATATATCTATGATAGTATCAGGGTTTGTTATTGATGTTTATGTATAACGTGTTATAAGTACCTAATGGATATTGTGATTTGTGATAATGTGATATGATTAATTTGGAATTTATTATAGGTCAATTTTTTTTAATACCATAGATATGTATATAATTTGTCTTAAACCTAGACTGACATACCGTCTTCGCTCAGAATCTTTTTTCTTATACAATGATATTGTATCATTGAATTCAAATTTAATAGCATCCATTATACAGTAACCCACTTGTAACCTACTGTACAGCAGAGCGACATCCACTTACCCACCTTTTTTCTGTTTATGTTTATATTATTTTCTTTTGATCCATCAAAGTCCAATAATATCTACTCTAGTACTAGCTGAAACCATCCATTAAATTTAAGTTAAAACATTTTTACTGATCCTAAGGGAGACGGAGTTAGACACACAAAAAAAAACATGGCTACGTTCAGTGCTTTTTTTCCTCAAGTATACAGATTGTGTACTTACATAAGTATATGGTACCTATGGTATACCATACAAGTATTTATATTTAAATGGTTTTATTTCTAATATACTGCTAACAATATTAACTATTACTAATATCAATCACTTGTTTAAAAAATAATTGAAAAATATGATCCTTATTATATTAATATAATATTATGTACCCTACTTTGAACTTGAAAATTGATGAATTCCTTATAATGGCGAAGGTGATAGAAACTAAAAACCTTAAATAACATTTAATGAAAATACTTGCTCGTCTATATTTTATCACAACCAAAAACTTTTTTTTCTATACAATATT